CCCAGCGTGACGGAGAAAGCCCGGATCAAGCAGGAACAGCCCAGATGCAAGAGAGGTGAGTGCCTTTTTGGGTCCTTATTGCATGGGTGCGGTGGGCCCCCAAATTCGAAGCCCTAAAGCCGCGATTGACTAAACATGCTGTTAGCCGAGGCTCAGTGTGAGGGCTTCAGGGTTCTATCCAGGGTGTCGGCTCAACCTAAACTTGGTCCAACCACGTAAAACCCTAAATCCTTGAGCCCCTGCTCCCCGTGAAGCCCGACAAGCCTTAGCCACAGCTGGGTTTAGGGCGTCAGGGTTTCGGGCTCCAGAAACACCAGGTACAGTACTCGTAGGCCCTTGGGATATTTCATATTTCCCCTTATTGGGTTTAGGGGGATTAAGATCTTGGAAGATCTTTCAGGGGGTGGGGCTCATCCTGGGTACTGAGACCGGAAGACAAAAAGAGTTCCACAAACCCCAAACCCTTAGACCCTAGACCCTAAACCCTAAAAACCCTAACCCCTAACCCTGAACCCTCAACCCTAAACCCTAAACCCTAATCCCTAACCCCTAAACCCGAAGCCAAGATGAAGAAGCTGAGCTCCAGTCCAACCACGCCACGGCAGCCAGGAGCCTTGGCGTCAAAAACCCTAAGCCTAAACCCTACACGCAATGGCCGGCGGCAACGAAACTCCACATCCCAGCCCTTTTTGGGCTTCTTGGTTCCATCAAAAAATCAACAGCAAACAAAGGATACCGTGACCATAATCTGGTGGCTGCCAGGTTCTTTAAAAATTCAAACATACCTATATATATATATATGTGTATATATATAATATAATAGAAGATTATATTATGTTATACACATCTACACATATTTTTTATAAGACCTAGATCCTCACATCCTGACCACTGAAGCCTTAAGCCCTCGAAAACAAACATTTGCGGCTTCAGGACCCTCAACCCTACACAAAAACCCCAAACCCTAAGGTCGGTTTAGGGTTTAGGGTTTAGGATTTAGGGTTTAGGGTTTAGGGTTAATTAGGGTCCTGACGAGTTCGGGATTTTCTCTCCGGGATCGTGACGTATCAGGGCTCCGGCTAAACCCTAAACCCTAAACCCTAAACCCTAAACCCTAAACCCTAAACCCTAAACCCTAAACCTAGGAGCTTGGGACTCCCAACCCTTTGAATCCGGTTGAGGGTTATTCAGGCTCTCAGACCGGGTGCAAAAAGGGTTATTCAGGGTTTGTAGGGTCTAGGGCGTCAGAAGCAGGGGTTTAGGGTTTATGGCTCCCCCCCTCCCCCCCAACTTTGTCTGCCTTTGGGCCTCCTGGCTTGAGGTATGACTTGGTCCTGTTGCACTCGGCATGAGAAAAACTCCTAAGCCCGATGGCCTTTTCTAGGGCTTGGGGTTTCGGATCTCCGGGTACCCTAAGCCCTAAACCCTAAATAAACTCCTTAAGCCCATAAGCCCTGAACCCCTCAACCCTAAACCGTACACACTATACTCCTAAACCCTAAACCCTCTTCAGGCTCCCCCAAAAGCTTGCTGACAACCAGCGGCTCCATCGCGGAAGACGTGGCGTCCACGATGGGAAACTTCAGCCGCCACCCCAAGCAGATGGATTCGCTTTAGGGTTGAATTGGAGGGTTCCGGGTCCTTATAAGAAGGGACTCCTACTATTTGAGGGCCGATATAGTAAGGGGTCCCTTATTTTCGAAAACCCCCCCAATTAGGGTTGCAGGGGTTCAGGCTCAGGGTTTGTTGTGTGTCAGTTAAGGGTTCACGTAGGGATCTTACGAGCAGTTGCGCTGGAACAGGGCATGCGTCACCGCGTCCGGCTTTAGCAGAGAGTGAAGCCCCCCGTAATGCAAAACACACCAGCTCTGAACCTTAAAGGGTTTAGGGTTTAGGGTTTAGGGTTTGTGCAAAAACCCGTTTATGACAAATGGGCTTTTTGGCCATTACTCTATGTCGGCGAACTCGTTTTATGGCAAACAACAGTGGCGGCACAGAGGTTTATGATCAGCCACTGACATGTCGAACTCGAAGAGCAGCATGGGTGGGTGATCTGTTGGCCCAGCCCAAACCCTGAACCTTAACTACAAGTACACTAGAAACCCTAAGCCCCGTACACCCTAGACAGTATCTGCAGCCCCGCCGTACACCCCTATAAACGCCCAACGTACGCCAGGCTCCTGATTGCAGCTGGAGGCATTTCGCAAAACCTAAACCAAAGCTCCGTGCCTCATGAACTCTGCACCTTAGAAGCTCTGAACCCGAAACCCTAAACCCTAAATCCTAGACCCTAAACCTTAAACCCTAAACCCTAAACCTAGACCCTAGACCCTAAACCCTAAACCCTTATGAGCTCTGAGTCCTTGTAGGCTCCAAAACGCATACTCCCGAGCACAGGTCCTGAGCTGACCTCTGCGAAGCTCCAGCAGTTTGTCGAGGCGGCTGTGGTTGAGGAATCAAGAGCCCTAAGCCCTACATTAACTGCTCTAAACCCTGGGTTTAGGGTTTAGGTGTTGGGGTTTAGGGTTTAGGACTGCTTGCTTCTGTTGCGAGTCTTTTGGCTCGTGCATCAGGCCTCAGTTCCGGGTTCAAGAGGACTGCTTGACGGATGCCTCCGCAGAGGCTTGTCTAGGGGAGGTTCATGGGTCGTCATTGGGGTTGTATGTAGGGCAAAGTTTTTCACGGGCAAACAACCGGGGCAAATCTTAGACCTGGGTTTCTTGAGCCCTAAGCCCCAAGCTCTACACCCTGATTACATTAGGGCCCTATGTCCTGCAGTTAGTATAGTGCTGCGTGTCCCAACCTAAGGTCTATAGAGTGCTTGGTGCGTGTTTGGTTGTTCTTTTTTGGTGGTGTAGGGTTTAGGGTTTAGGGCTAGGATGGCATTGGTCTTATAGCGCTGGATGATATGTCAGTGGGGCTGACGGAGATGAAAAAAAAACTCGTACTCCCTTAACCCCAAACCTCATACCCTAAAGCCTGCGGTTTAGAGTTTAGGGTTTAGGGTTTAGGGTTTAGGGTTTAGGGGGTTCATTTCTGCAACTAGGGATGGGCCCTAAGTGCACCCCCTCAAGCTCCGAAGGCACAAAGACGAGCCTACGATCGCCTGCAACTCTTAGCGGCAGAAGAAGGCAGGGCTTTAGGGTTGTAGGGTTTAGGGTTTATAGGGTTTAGGGTTTTAGGGTTTAGGGTTTAGGGTTTAGGGTTTAGGGCTTCGTTACTGTTGCTGGTGCTTCTGCTGCTGTCATGAACTCGATGTAAGGGCCCGCGTTCCCTTTTCCTTCCGCTGACGTGCGCATGTTGTGCAGGTCGTACGTTGATGCACTTTTGCACTTAACTTGCGAGCAGTGAGCAGAACGAGCCAGCATGCCCTAAACCCTAAACCCCAAACCCTAACCCCTAAACCCTAATCCGGGGGCAATTTCTTCCCTACGGGCTCGCAGGCCCTCAGAGGATGCATGAGAGATCGCTGTTTCTCTCCAACCAGTTTCTAGATATCCAGGAGTGGCGTTGTTCACAGTACCTGTTCATGAAACTTAATCATGAAAACGCCACGAGCTGCAAAAGCCCTCGGCTCGAAACTCAATCCTAAACCCCATTCCCTTCTTAAGATGTTTCAAGAGGATCATCTTCGGGAATGGTCTTTCCAGAAGGGATCCCTAAACCCTAAACCCTAAACCCTAAACCCTTCAAGCTTTTAAGGGACCATCCAAGCATGCTCTGGCAGGTCCTCTGAAGGAGCGTCTTCGACAGCTTCACTCGGACGCTGGGCTTGGAAATCGCTGGGGATGCTACTCCCTAAACCCTAAACCCTAATCCCTAAACCCTAAACCCTAAACCCTAAACCCTACTAATTGCTTAAGAACCCCGGAAAAATAAGAAATAGTCTTGCTTATAAAGGGTAATATAGGGATGAATAAAAAAGTATTGTTCCTTATTCAGGGTAACATAGGGATGATTATTTTTCTTTTGGGGTTCTGAAGCAAATGGTAGGATGGGAAGGGCCTTCAGGCTACATGCATCCATCGATTGCTTGCGCGAATATGCGGTTCTACACACGGAGTCCACAGACTTTGTGTCATATATATGTATATATATACATATAGCATGTATGTTTATATTGTTACGCATAGTTGTATCGTTTATAGGGACTGGTGTTTAGGCTTCAGGGCCAGGGTTTCGGGCTTCGTAGCAGTGGAGTCCGTCGAGTCACCTGCAACTTCTGTTGGACAGCAGAGTTCTGTTTTTTCTTAGGCGAAAGTGCTTCAGCTGTTCTAGGAAGCATAAATGTAGCATAGGTCTGAATCTAAGGGTTTATAGTTCTGGATCCTGATATTCTGGCCCAGTAATTAGAGACGTTTTGAGCAACGCTTGCAGAACCCCTAAACCCTAAACCCTAAACCCTGAACCCTGAACCCCCCCCCCCCCCTTGAACCGAGAGCCAGAATCCAAAGCAGTCTGGCTGACGCAGATGATCGGCTTGAGATGATGCTGCGTGTTGTTGTGGCTTCATATCTCACAACAGCCAGAGGAAATACCCTAGTGTAGTTTTCTGCTTCATCTTCGTAGCAGCCATATTGCCGTAAAGGAAGCTGCTCGATCCTTTTGCCGTGAGGAGGGTCAGAAGGCACCTCTATCCCGGCAAAAGGCACGTTCCGAACAGCCCCAAATTCTAAACCCTCAACCCTCAACCCTCAACCCTCAACCCTCAACCCTAAACCACCCTCACCAAGGATTTGCATGACCGAATCCAGAAAGAAGAGACCACGCGGGCGGCGTGGTTTCCAACGGGAGGGGGGGGGGGGGGAGAGCAATCGGTGGGTGGCCTGCTGGTGCTTGAGCAGGAGCGGAGGCGGAGATTCTTTCGCAACCCCCCATAAAGTGATTCTACCGAGACTGGTATCTTCATTCCACCTGAAGCATCCCTCAGACTTCAAACCTTGGGGATGCTTTGGGTAATCAAGGACCTAGACTAGAATGGGGCCATCATCTCCGTTTTTATGGGTCAGGGCAAGAGGGGCCTTCATTGCTACTCGCAGGTTGGTCCGGGATGTAGGTGTGCCTGGCGACAGGAGAGCCGTCAATCTGAAGCCTCACGCGCCGCCATGCCCTGACCCTGCCCCGAAACCCTAGAAGTCTCCTCCAGGCAAGGTTTAGGGTTTAGGGTTTAGGGTTTAGGGTTCAGGGTTCAGGGTTCAGGGTTAAGGGTTTAGGGTTTAGGGTGACCAAAAACAATCCCCTAAAGGCCCCTCAAGACCATCAGCCCCCCAGACTGGCACTGGGGTCAAACCCCTAAAATCCAAAAACCGTTTCTTTTATGGTTTATAGGGTTAGGGAATTTGAGATATGAGCTGTGATGCTTCCACACCCTTGCATCATGTTGCATCTGGCTCACGAAACTCCGTGCGTCACGAGAGCAGCACATCAAGAGAACAAGGTTGTGAGGGTTGGCGCCATTAGCTTCGCCGTGGTTGCGAGTGCTGCAGACCAGATGAACAAGGTTTGTTGGGTGAAGATCAGAACCGGACCCATCCCCAGGTGGTCACAATGTTGCAAGATGCCGCCTGGCCTAGACTACTATAGGGGTCGGAATAAGTTGACGAATATAAAGTTCCCTTATGGTTCCTTTATCGATATACTACAATCACCCCTAAAGCCCTGTTCTAGTCTTTGTGGCCCCTTTTTTAGGGGGTAAAACGGTACATCGCCTTCGCAGCGCAAGAGGTGAAGGGAGCTTTGGGAGCTGAGAGCGCGTTTAGGGTTTAGGGTTTAGGGTTTAGGGTTCGTGTGTTCTGGGCATGGGTTCTCTAAGCCCGTAAACAGTCCGGCTCAGGGTCCGGGGAGGCGGCCGAGATGTTTATGGCGTCTGCGGTTCGCAGACAAAATCCAGTCTCAGTCACCGACTGTATTCAGCGGCTCTGTGGCCCTTCTTGAGGGTTTGGGGTTTTGAGTTTTGGTGCAGGTTGTTCTTGCCCCCCCGCCTTGCTGGTTTCGGGTCAGGACATAGCCGAAGGCGCCCAGAGTCCACAATTACTGCTCCACCCCAACAAAGGAGCCCGCAGAACTTAAACCCCCGCCCTAAGCCCCCTGTTCTAAGCAGGTGGCTCTGCCGATCCAACAGAGACCCCAACACCCTAGGTGCCCTACAAAAAGTCAACGGCCTCCTAAACCCTAAGCCCTAAACCCTAGACCCTAAACCCTAAACCCTAAACCCCAAAGTGTTAAGAAGAACTTAGGGTTGAGGGGAGCCGGTATTTTCCCAAGAGCCGAGGCAGATGCGGGCTCAGCGTCTCAGAAAGACTTGATCCAGCGGCTGGGCTCCGACATGGGGTTTGGGGTTTAGGGTTCAGGGTTTAGGGTTTAGGGTTTAGGGATGGTGCTTCAATAGGCTGAGCCGGCCAGGGTTGTCTCTATCTCAGGGCAGTTCGAGCAGTCGAACCGGATTGCCCGCGGCTTTTGGGAAGTGCCTTGTACTGTAGTTCCCTTGTTCTCCCTTCTTTAGGATAGGGTCACCTTTAGTCTTTGACTTTGGACAGACAGGGGCCCTCCTCCTATACAGCAACCTAGTCTTAGAGCGCGCTAGAAGGTCCCGAGAACCAGCGGCATCCATTTGCCTCTGGCAAACCTTTGAGCCCTGCCTTGCCTGAGTCCCTGAAAGCTGCTACGTCGTTGTTTCTAAGGGGCGTTGCAGCGTGCTGGGTTTACACTGTGCACCCTAAACCCTCACACCCCTCAAACTCTCCCTCTAAGCTCCTACCCTGGAAGTGAAATTATTATGATTATTCTGATTCTGATTCTTATTATTATTATTATTTCTTTTATTACTATGCGCAGGAGGGGTGTGCCGCCCACAGGCACTCTGTGTCATGGGAGATGACTTCAGATTTTGGGTTTTGGAAGCCCTTTAGGGTTTTTGCCGGTTTTAGGGTTTTTAGGGTTTAGGGTTCAGGGTTTAGGGTTTAGGGTTTAGGATTTAGGGTTTAGGGTTTTTGTGTTTTTAGCGTTTAGAGTTTAGGGCTTTTAGGCTTTTTGGGTTTTTAGGGTTTTTCGGGTTTTTAGTGTTTTTACGGCTTTTAGGGTTTAGGGTTTAGGGTTTTAGGGTTCAGGGTTTAGGGTTTAGGGTTCCGTTTCTGTTTCAACAAGTTTCTTAGGCTCTGAAGTACTCTTTGCATGCCTTAAAAAAAGCGGGGGGGTTGGGGGGGGCGCAGCCCCCCCCCATGTGAAACACAAGGCTCACACGATTGCCCGCCCACCCCCCCCCCGCCCTGTGAAACACAGCAGGGCTGAGTGGGCGACGTATGAACAAAATGCGTTTTTGCACCGACAGCACTTGCAGCCATGAAACGCTGAAAAACCACCGTTCTAAGGGGAAGAGCAGCTTCAAGATAACAACACGGACACATGTTCAACATCCAATTCCAGCGTTCGCCGGGTGCATTGGTGCGAGTCCGGGAACGCACACAGCCCGGAAAGTACGCGCCTGCGCACTCCAAAGGAGGTTTGCCCAAGGCTTCCCGAAACGGCGCGGGCAGGACACCCCATCTCCCCGTATTATTACTATTAGTACTATTATTACTATTATTACTATTATTACTAAGTTATTACTATTATTACTATTATTACGATTATTACTATTATTACTATTATTACTATTATTACTATTATTACTATTATTACTATTATTACTATTATTACTATTATTACTATTATTACTATTATTACTATTATTACTATTATTATTGTTATTATATAAGATCCCACCCTGGAAAGCCCAGGCGCGTCCGGAGCATGGTGGCAGAGGGGGCCGATCCGGAGTCGGCGCAGCAGCAAATCGTCGAGGACCCACCGAGTAAAAAAGAGTTTGGGGTTTAGGTTTTAGGGTTTAGGAAGAATTGCCAATACTGAGATTCACGGCTGCGTCTGTTCAAACAGCGGGGTTATGCTCGGCAAGATCCCGCTGCCCACTGGGCTGCGCGGCGTTGTCGGTAGGCTGAGGGCTGTTTTTCTTCTGTGTTTGAGCATGTTGTAGAGGATTGGCAGAGGGTTATATGGCCGTTAGGCCTGGTTTTGGGTGCTTTCCCTATGTAGCCCGTTGTCGGCCTGCCAAAGATATGCTAGAAATGGTCAGCTGCAGGCCGCGCAGGGTGTAGACGTATGAGATTATGTTGCGAGGAGCTCGTCCATCAATCGCAGGACGAGGTGCGCCATTTTGCAGGGCCGTAAGCAGTGGCCCCGAAGCGGGCGTAACCCTCAAAAGAGACAAAGCCGCACTCTTGCCAGAAAGAACGAATGAACAGGTTGGGGTGGGGCGCGGGGTGTCGATACGTGAAAACCTTCAAGACGCTACTTGGAGCCTTGGAGCTCCAGATTTAGCCCTTATGAGCCCGCACCCTGAAACTTAAGTGTGTGAAACTTTAGGGGCTCAGGTTGCGTAGGGTTCAGGGTGAAGGGTCTCGCGAGCACAAGGGGTGTATTCTTTCGAAGCCCTGGGCTATTCGACGTTGCGCGCATTGAACGCAGGTCTCTTGCACCAGGCGTTGGAAAGTTGGACAGAGTCCTCTTACAATCCCAGTAGAATTATTTGTGAAGCCGTGTTTGTTTCAACACCCTACGAATCCGATTGGGGTTCTTGCTAGAAGCGCAAGGAATCCAACCAGGGCCCGAATTGATTCCTAGTACTGTCCAGTCGAACGTCCAAGAAGCCCACATGGGGCCCAACTGTCAGCACATGTCACCCCGAAGCCCCGCCCCCAAGCCCTGGATCCCAAAACAAGCCCTAATTTCGTTAAACCCTTAAACCCCGAACCCAGAAACCCCAAAACCCAAAATCCTAAACCTTAGACTACCACTCCTCAGCCTCCCTAAGCCCGAAACCCTAAACCGTTCCACTTCAAGGTCCCTTCTGGGGGTCCCTGGAATGGGCTACCTATAAAGATCACCCGTGACTTGGGCAGCCTAAGAACTAAACCCGAAACCCGAAACCCTAAGCCAGCCGTGAAGTTGCGGCACCCCCAGGGGCTTTCCAGAGTTTAGGGTTTAGGGTTTAGGGTGTAAGGTTTAAGGTTTAGGGTTTAGGGTTTAGGGTTTTTCACAGGCAGCCGTCAGATTGCGTCAGGTGCGCCGGCGAGTGGTGGAGATCTTTGGGCCCATGCGTCTGGAGGTGCCCGGTTAGGGGCTTCCCTCGGTTTTGGGGCTTGGTGGTGGCCGGAGCCTACGTGGGTGGTTGTCAAAATTATGATCCCTTGTGGGGTACCCTGAATATTTAGGTGCCGTATTATAAAAGGGGTCCAAAAAGGGACCATAATTTTGACAACCACCCACATGGCTACCTACACTGCTATGCCCTTCGTAATCCCGATAGGCCCTTATGTTTTTGGGGCCTCCCTGGGATTTTGGGGTTTGAGGGGTAAGCAACCCAAGGCCCTGAACCCTAGCGAGAGAGAGAGAGAGAGAGAGCCAGAAAAGAGCGAGAGAGAGAGAGAGAGATAGACAGATAGATAGGTATCTATAGGCCCTAAGCCTAAACCCCAGAAGAAGTATAGAATGGCCCTCCGACAGGCTGAAGGGGAGCTCTACAATCGACAGCTCGCTGTGGCACATGACGCTTGCTTCGCGAGAGTTTTAGACTTCTTGGGTCGGGAGTCGAAACGAGGGCTTGCAGGGTTCAGGGTTTAGGGCCGTTTCGGGGTCATCAGCATTCAGGATTCTGGAGGCGGGCGAATCGCGAAGGCGTGGAGTTTCCTCCGTAGACCCCTTCTGTAATGTTTGTATTTCTAACACTTAGTACCCTTAGGCCGTCGGCGCCTGCGTGGTAATTCCACTCCTGTTAAGGCTGATCTAGGCCAGCTACCAACTTCGAGTCCTACTACTCCCCAAGCCCGAAGCCCAGAACCCCTAAACCCCCCTAAGCCCCCTTAAACCGTAAACCCCCCTACACCGACTAATCCCCCAAACCCCCCCAACCCTAAACTAACCCTAAACCCTAAACCCTAAACCCCCTAAAGTCCCCCTAAACCTCTGCAAGGAGCTCGAAGCCTTGGAGGCCAAGGTCATCGCGTTGCGTGGGGGCACCTACTGTGAGGAGGCCTCCGCTGGGCTGGGTTCCAAAAAGGCTTCAGGGTTTAGGGTTTAGGGTTTAGGGTTTATGCAAAGGGTCTGGGTTCAAAAAGGGTTTAGGGTTTAGGTCCCGGGTTCAGGGTACAAGGAGTTTAGGGTTTAAATAGGGTGTTGTCGGTTTAGGGTTTAGGGTTTGGGCGGGTTTGGGGGGGTTCAGGGTTTCGGGTAGAGATCCCGGGCTCGGGGTTCAGAGTTTTGCACAGCTTGCCCGAAAGGCTGTGAAAGGTGCACGCGGCTTCGTGCTGCTGAAGTCGGGCTTAGGGTAGGGGCTAAACCCTAAACCCTAAACCCTAAACCCTAAACCCTAAACCCTAAACCCTAAACCCTAAACCCTAAACCCTAAACCCTAAACCCTAAACCCTAAACCCTAAACCCTAAACCCTAAACCCTAACACTAAACCCTAAACCCTAAACCCTAAACCCTAAACCCTAAACCCTAAACCCTAAACCCTAAACCCTAAACCCTAAACCCTAAACCCTAAACCCTAAACCCTAAACCCTAAACCCTAAACCCTAAACCCCAACCCTCAACCCTAAACCCTAAACCCTAAACCCTAAACCCTAAACCCATACGCATGAGACCGGCGCTCTCGATTCGACTCGCCCGAAAGTGGGGGGCACCGTGAGGGCATCCGGAGTCGACTCGTGACCCATGGATGTGATGCGGTTTAGGGTTTAGGGTTTAGGGTTGAGGGTTGAGGGTTGAGGGTTGAGGGTTGAGGGTTTAGGGTTTAGGGTTCAGGGTTCAAAAGCACCACAAAGAGAGCCGCAAGAGTTTTTGGGGCTGTGAAGCAGGGGAGAGTGCTTGGCATGTCGAGCCCCGGATACTGAACCCTACACCCGACACCCTACACCCTACACCCTAAACCCTAAACCCTAAACCCTAAACCCTAAACCCTAAACCCTAAACCCTAAACCCTAAAAACAAAACCCTAAACCTTCAACCCGCAAGCCATAGGCCTCATCGACCTCTGTAGCGCCATGCACGCTCATGGTGAAGACTTTACAGTTCAGGGTTTCTGTCGATTCAAAGAACAAGTGCCGCACTTCAAGTAAAGGCCCTTAGCATTAAACACTGAGACTAGGGTTAGAGAGATAGAGTGACAGACAGAGAGAGAGAGAGAGAGAGGGAGTGATTTCTCGGCGGGCTTCGGCCCCCGAAACTCTACACATGAAAAGCGAGAGTAAGAACAGTGACTTGTAGGGCTAAAGTCAAAAGGCCTGGTTGCACCAGAGTTCAGGGAATTCCCAACCATGAGCCCGGGCGACAGACAAATCACCCGAGCATGAGTGTCGAAATCCTCAAGCCTCTCTCCCGAGACCCTCCAGCCCTGAAGGGGTCAAAAGGGGTTTTGAACCCTAACGCCCACACCCCTAAACCCTAAATCCTAAACACCTGTGGGCGACGGCGCCAGGCAAAAATGCTGGGCTTCGATTTTGGGCTCTCAGCGCAGGCGCTCTCCGTGCCCGAAAGCCTCAACGCTCGCCTCTGACATCCCAGGGCCCCTAGGTCCTAAGCAAGTACGGTTGAGGGACCCTAAACCCTAAACCCTAAACCCTAAACCCTAAACCCTAAACCCCTTTGGAAGGAGGCTCGGGGTGGCCAGTCTAACCAGCACCTGAAGCACTGGAAGCTTGAGCTCTGCTGTTATGTGGAGGTCCTTCATACATTTAGGGTTTAGGGTTTGTTGGGGTTTAGGGTTTAGGGTTTGGGGTTGGCTCTTTGTTGACGAGTACTGGAGGTTGGCTAGGGGCTTCTTTTTTTCTAAGGCATTTCGCTGGCTCGGGAGGGCTTTGCAAGTTGCCTTGCATGGACTTAGATGTGTGAAAGACTGCAAGACGCTGTTTGCGGAAGTGTTTCTTCGAAGCTTAGCGGAGCTTGCCCATGAGTCCCGTAAAACCCAAAACGATCCGAGTCGGAACCCCCCCCCCCCCCCTCCCCCCCCCCCCCCCTCCCACCCCCCCCCCCCCCCCCCCTCCCTTCCCCCCCCCCCCTCTCCCCCCCCCCCCCCCCCCCCCTTCCCCCGCTCCCCCCTTGTTCCCCCCCCCCTTCCCCCCCTTCCCCCCCCCCCTTCCCCCCCCCCCTTCCCCCCCCCCGGCCCCCTTTTTGTTGTGCGGTCTTGTAAACAGAAATGTACACAAGAGGATTGCAACGAAGGGAAGTGCGTTTAGGGCTTTAAGAAACACGAAGCTAAACTCATATGTCCGCGAACCCGGAGAACCCAATATCCCCAAATTCGGGAAAAGGCTCTTATTTTTATACTTTATCCCCATAAACCCTAAACCGTAAACCCTAAACCCTAAACCCTAAACCCTAAACCCTAAACCCTAAACATTAAACCCTAAACCCTAAACCCTAAACCCTAAACCCTAAACCCTAAACCCTAAACCCTAAACCCTAAACCCTAAACCCTAAACCCTAAACCCGAACCGATGACGGGGTTTTGGGCTCACCGGGCAGGTCCGACAGAATCTACGTGCAATGCCCGGCGTCCGCCGCACCACCTCCGGCAGCAGTGCCCTTTCCGAGAGCTGCCCTAAACCTCAACCCTAAAACTCCCACCAGGGTTTAAGGTTTGGGTTTAGGGTTTAGGGTTTGGGGTTTGGGTTGTAGAGAATGTTCTCTTTGTAGTTTCTTCCTTCAAGATGTTTGCGCCTGGAATGGGGTATGGGGATCCAACAATTTGGCGCTTTGTTTAGGTGTTTTGTAGGGGGCAGAGGCGGGGGGCGGGGGGGGGGGGTGGGGGGGGGGCAAGGGGTGAGGGGGCGGGCAGGGTGGTGGGGTTTGGGGTTTTGGGGTTCTGGGTCTTTGCGCAGCCAGGGGGCTTCTGTTTATCAGCCGCATGTCGTGTTGCCTGGGAGTTTTGAGCTTTGCATCATTAGGGATTTGAGATTCTGGAACCTCACCTGCTCGTCCTCAAGTGTCAAAAGATTGCAGCACGCGCCATCAACTCGCACAGATGACGCCTCGGATAGGTGTTAGATCTGATCCTCGAGGGCGTCTAAGGGGGCGTGTCAGAGGGTTGAAGGCTCGCCGGAGGTTCTCTTTTCTCGCAACCAGTGCAAAGCAGGACAACGCCTTTTGTTATCCCTAAACCCTAAACCCTAAACCCTAAACCCTAAACCCTAAACCCCCAAACCCTAAATTGGGGTCTGTGAGTCGGCTTGGTCAGCTAGCGGCGGGGCCTCCACAACCGGAGTCGCCCTAAACCCTCAACCCCCAACTTCACTTGGATTCGTTTAGGGTTTAGGGTTCAGGGTCCAGGGTCTAGGGTTTAGGGTATTTCTGGGTACTTCTAATCCCAATTCTATCTGTACTTATAAGCCCCCTAAGTCCTCTAAGTAGGTTACAAGGTAGTATCATAACTTGTATATTTGGGGGTATAAGTTAAGTATCCATGAACCTCCAAGTAAAGCCTTAAGCTCAGGTGGCAGTCTGCCCATGCGATTCAACAGCTCCCTGTCGCAGCGGGTCGGCTGGGTGGAGGGAAGAGGGTTTAGGGTTTAGGGGTTTGTGGTTTAGGGTTTAGGGTTTTAGGGCTCAGGGTTTGGGGTTTGGGGGTTTCAGAGTTGGGGGGTTCATACCAGGGTCTAGGGCTCGGGCTTTAGGGCTCCTGGGCTGGGGTTCTTGCATCAAAAGGGCGCTTCGGGGGCAGTTCTCTCCAGCTGCCTTGCACGGATGCTTCCGGGTTCCCAGCTCTACATGCGCAGCCTATCAAAGTGCCCCATGCATCTGCAGACCCCAAGCCCTAAGCAGCAGACACTCAAACCTACACCTACTACGCCAAAACCCTTCAGGCCTCAAAGCCCTGTGAAGGCCTCTCAGCCCCAGAACATGCCGCCCTTTTCGGCAAGCAAGAAAGGTCCAAAGTCAACACCTCCCCCGCCCCCGCCCCCCCGCCCCCCCGCCCCCCCGCCCCCCCTAAACCCTAAACCCTAAACCCTAAACCCTAAACCCTAAACCCTAAACCCTAAACCCTAAACCCTAAACCCTAAACCCTAAACCCTAAACCCTAAACCCTAAACCCTAAACCCTAACACTAAACCCTAAACCCTAAACCCGACTACCCGAACACCCGAAGAACTCGAAACCCTAAAGCAACTTCACGACAGGACTCCGAGCCTGGCTCCTCTGACGCTCCGAGCTCAGCTGGCTCCAAGCAACCCTAAGCCCTAAACCCTAAGCCCTAAACCCTAAACCCTAAACCTCAACTCTAAACCCTAAGCCCTAAACCCGAAACCCTAAACCCTCAACTCTAAACCCTAAACCCTAAACCCTAAACCCTAAACCCTAGCCTCCGAGAGGTCAGCTAAGCGGGTGGCAAAAAGAAAACCCTAGCCTTAACCCTCAACCCCCTGACTGCTTGAGATCCTGCAGCAGATCCTGGCATATTTCTTGAGATAGCCTTCAGCTCTGAGTTTTCAGGGATTGGCCTGCCAGCAACTAACACCATGATGTAGATTTCGCAATAGTCGCCATGCGACAATGCGTGGGTCCTCATCTTCAGCCTACAACAAAAGCCGTGCTGCTTTCAGTGTCATAGCTTTCTTTTGGCAGGCATGGCATTGCACGCAATTGAAAGCTCACCCCTAAACCCTGAACTTCCCTGAGCCCTAAATTCTAAGCCCTAGAAACCCTCTACCCCATAACCCCTGAGGCCTATAGGCCCTATAAACCCTGTAAACCCTACAAACTCGAGACAAAAAAACAAACAAACCCTATGAACCCTATGAACCCTATAGACCTACAAACCCAATAAACCCTACACATCCTATAAACCCTACAAACTTAAACTCGAAAACCCAAAAAAACCAGTTAACCCTATGGCTCCTCAGCCCTACGTGCCCAGAGACTCCAATACTCCTTAATTAAGGAATATTCCTTAAACCATATAAGGAACCCTATGATAGTTTAGGGAATATTCCTTAATTAAGGAGTACTCCTTAAAGCATATAAGGAACCCTTTTATAGTTCAGGGAATATTCCTTAATTAAGGGGTATTGGAGTCCCTGGGTGACTCTGGCAAGGTGCCACGGAACGGCTCCCAGACGCTGGTGGCATTGTCCAATGGCACGGCGGCAGTCTGAGCCTGAGCCCAGGGGTTACGACGCCAAGGAGGTACAAGGGGGTTTAGGGTTTAGGGTTTAGGGTCTAGGGTGTCAAGACATCATCGCCCGGATGCAAAAAGGGTAAAGGGTTCAGGGTTTGGGCTAAACCATTTGAACCTGGAAACCGCTCCATGCCAGGACAGCACCCCAAACCATAAACCCTAAACCTTACCCGCAATGTTTGCGTGTGTGCTGGGCGGGTGGCAAAAAAGACCACCCTCCACCCTGAACCCTCAACCCCCCTCCCCCCCCTTTAAACCCCAAACCCCCAAACCCTAAACCCCCTAGACCCCCCCAAAAGACGAACTCGTCCGACGCTTACCCTAAACCCTCAACCCTAAACCCTAAACCCTCAAACCTCAACCCTAAGCCCTAAACCCTCAACCCTAAACCCTAAACCCCCAAAGAAGAATCAGGTCCCAGGTGGCTATGGGGGGAGCCCGCGAGGCGCCTCGAAGCCTGACTTGGGTTTCGCCGCCCCGCCGCACTGAGACGTCTCCAGCAACCCTAAGCCCTAAACCCTAAGCCCTAAACCCGAAACCCTAAACCCTAAACCCTAGGTTTCCCGACAAGCCAAGCCTTTCTGAGGTTATTTCGCCACGGTCTGCCTCACCAAAGGACAGCCGGTGGCTTCTTGCTTGGGGTTTGGGGTCAAAGGGTTTAGGGTTTAGGGTTTAAGGTTTAGGGTTAGGCATGTGCCACACAGGGCCATAGGGTTTAGCACATGAACCTTTGGTGTGTGTGTGTGTGCGCAGCGTTTTAGGCCTTAGGTCCCTTAAAGCCTGCAAACCCTAAGCACATCAAACTTGCTGGCTCTTAGCTAGGACTCGGTGGTTCATGGGTACTTATGAGTAGGGTTATAAGTAGGGTAACTATGGTGACATGTTTATTTCGGGTACTTGGAACCCTCCCCTTTTTTATGTACCCATGAACCTCCGGAGGCTTGGTTCCAACTCTAAACTCTAAACCCGAAACCCGAAACCCGAAACCCGAAGCTGCAGGAGCTTATGGGGCCCGGAGCCGCGCAGGTGGGCGACAGCTCGCCACTGAGGTGGGTCGAGTGTATAGGGTTTCGGGGTTTCGGGGTTTCGGGTTTAGGGTTGGTGTTTTTTGGGGGGGGGGGGGGGAGGGCGGGAAGGTTAGGGTTGGGGGTTTTGGGGTTCAGGGCGTAAGTCGAGCAATGGCAGCTTCAGAAACAGGTCGTCAGAAGGGTTCGGGGATGTTTGGGAAGCCCCTCAATCTCGAAGCCCTGAGTCCTTCTTGCTCGGAAGCTCAACCTCCACTGGTGGGATCTTGAGGTGTGCATGCCGGGCGATGGGGGCCGCTAGGGCCGCTAGTGGCAGAGATCACAATCTGCTGTTTTCGCATCTTTTCAGGGGCACGTCGCCCATCGGCCCCGCAGGCGTCTGCAAGCAGGCCAGCGCGTGGTGCTGCCGAACGGCTTGGCATCCTGCTCGCATCTGCGCACACAGGTTTCTGGGGAATCGGGACTTCCAGGTTCCTCGACCTAGCAGCTGAGTGAGCACGCTTGAACACTTTTTGGGATACTAGAACCCCCTATAGAACTGAAATTGTACGCTTTTTGGGGGGGCTTATGAACTCAGCAACCAAGTCGAGATCTTATAAAGGGATGCATGCGGATGCTGTACCTAACTCCCGCTAAGAGCCCGTGCGAAAAGGGTCTTGGGGTTCGGTTACACGATGGCCACTGCCTTCCAGGGGGTTTGCGGTTTAGGGTTTAGGGTTTCTGTACCTTGAAGATACACCAAGACCAAGGCAAGTGAGAGCCATAGCCGTCATATGACGATAATTGGCTTCTCGCCTAATTTGACAAATCAGGGGGCCAGCCAAGCTAGGCTTTAACACAGCAGCGCCTTCACATGGGTAGGTTACCTATAGATAGGATTTTGAGTTTGGGTTCTGGAATTGTTTCAGGGCTTCTAAGACTGTCAGAAGCCCCGCGAGAGTGAGCGTCGAAGCCCTAAACCCCTAAACCCCCCCCTAAACCTAAACCCCAAACCCTAAACCCCTAAACGCCTAAACCCCTAAACCCCTAAACCCCTACACCCGAAGTCAGGTGGCCATGGCGATGCCAGCCTCCGGAGGCGTGACCCCCGGGGTCGCGCCGGCACTTTTGTGGGTGAAGGGCTTCGTGGGCTGAGTGAGTTTTGGGGCTTAGGGTTTTGGGATAAACCCTTAACCCTAAACCCTAAACCGGTTTAGTTTAGGGCTTAGGGTTTTGGGCTGAGGGTTGAGGGTTTGGGTTTTAGGTTAGGAGGCTTCTGAACCCCCTTGGGGGCCCTCGCCCCAAGAAGTAGAGGCTTTGGATCTTAGGGCTCAGAGGTCTGATTATTTTCAGCCCTAGACCCGAAACCCGAGCGACTAAACCCTGGGCTTGCTGAGCTGGGGTTGAACCACTTTGAGAGTTTGCCGGGGTTTTGCAGCGCACGGCTGCAAAAGAGTCCTGGGCAGGGCTTCAGGGGCTTGAAGGTTTATATAGTAGGGCCTTCACCAATAAGCTTAAACCCCACTAGGCGTAAACCTTAGCACGCCTAAACCCGAAAAAAGCCTAAGAAGCCTGCACCCTAAACAGCTTCAACCCTTAAAATCCTAAACCCTAAGGCCTAAAACCCCAAACCCCTAAACCCTAAACCCTAAACCCTATAACTCAAAGTTCCTGGAGACTTAGGGCATCTCCTTGCCGCACCGCGCCAGGTGCCTCAGGTGGTGTCTCCGGGATCCGTCACGCCGGGGGTGCGCTTGCTTGCAGTCAGTAGGTAGGGTTTAGGGTTTAGGGTTTAGGGTTTTGGGTTTTGGGTTTTGGGTTTTGGGTTTAGGGGTTAGGGGTTAGGGTTTAGGGTTTAGGGTTTAGGGCATTTTTCAAGGGCTTGGTAGCCCCGTGGTGCCCTGTACCCTTGTTTTTGGTTATGGGCCCCCTTATACAATAAATAAGCTAGCCAAAAAAGGGTGCCCTTCTCATAATATGGGCTACCAAGAGGCAGTTCAGGGTTGAGGGTTGAGGGTTTCTATATACCTCTTGGGAATTGTTTTGTATTTTTAATTATATAAAACCCAAGAGGATATTGTTTTTTGATTAAGGTTCTAAGGGGAGTATAGGTTTAGGGTTAAGTCTTGGAATATGTTTCCTAAATCCTACCCCCCCCCCCCCCCGCCACTGTAGGGCTACAAAGTCGAAAAGCTTCGGGTAGGAGGTTGTTCCACATCCAGGGTCCAGATGAGCCTCGTAACCTTGAACACTCAACCCTGGGCCTCAGACCGGAAGCCCTAAACCCAAAAGTTTAGGGTTTAGGGTTTAGGGTTTAGGATACTGGTGTTTGAAGAGGTTCAGGACAGGGTCGTTGACGAAGTCATCCGACTCGCATGATGTCGCCTGAACAACCTCGCTCACAGGCAAGCTACCACAGGAGCCCTGAAGCAAAAGGGTTTAGGGTTCAATACTTGGGGTTCATGGGTGCTTAAAACCCCAATTATAGTTGCCCGCCCGCCTCTTACAGCGAGGGCTGGGATGAGTGAAGAAGTCATGGCCCTCAAGAAACAGGCTCAGCAGCTAGCCGCGCTAGCACGATACACTCAACCTCACCTAACTCGTCGTAGCACTTCATAGAGCCTGAAACCCTAAACCCTAAACCCTAATTAAACCCTAAACCCTGAACCCTGCCTTTCATGAATCCAAGCAAGAGGTGCCGCCGTCGCCGAGCCGGTCCCAAGTCCTAGGACCGGCAACTCGGCAGGGTTTAGGGTTTAGGGGGGTTGAGGTTTAGGGTTTAGGGTTTAGGGTTTAGGGTTTAGGGTTTGGAGGTTTAGGGTTTAGGGCGGAGGGTGTAGGGTTAGGGTTTCTGGAAAGGGGGGAGTGGACCCTTTGCTTCTCCCAAGCCCGAAGCGTCCCAGGTGGACGGGTCGCCCTCGAGACCGCAGCTCCGGACCATGAACAGCATGCCAGTCACTTGTCTCGTACTTTGCCTCTTTGGGCATGGGTTTAGGGTTAGGGGTTAGGGGTTTAGGGTTTAGGGATTCATGTCCCCACTGGTCCTCCATCGCCTACAGGCAGAATTCTGGGCTACCTAAGCGGTACAGCTGCCCTTCCCTACAGCTGCTCCCAAAATGTGTTGGGCCCTACAGGCCCCAACCCTCCACCCCCGTCCGGGCCCCGCCCCAGCTCATGAATCCCTAAACCCTAAACCCTAAACCCTAAACCCTAAACCCTAAACCCTAAACCCTAAACCCTAAACCCTAAACCCTAAACCCTAAACACTAAAACCCTAACCCCCCTACCCCCCCCCCCCCCCCCCCCCAAAAAAAAAAAAAAAAAACCTAAATCCTAAACATCTTGCGCGCCGAGCCAAGCCCAGGTGGATGGGTCGCCCTCAAGGCCTCAGCTCCGGCCGATGAACAGCATGCCCTTGCAGGGGGAATCCTGGATCCGATCAGAATAGTTAGGGTTTCGGGCTTAGGGCTTAGGGCTTAGGGCTTAGGGTTTAGGGTTTAGGGTTTAGGGTTTAGAACCCCCAAAGCCTAAACCCTGCAGCCCAAGCGTCAGAACCCCGCAACGGAGGAACTGACCCCGTCCCAGCGGCTGCAGCTTGCCGGCTTGCAGGCGCTGCGAGGGGTTGTAGGGATTTAGGGTTTGCGGTTTAGGGTTTAGGGTAACCATAAACCCTGAACCCTAAGCCCCAACACTTTCAAAAGGTTGGGTTCAGGGTCAAGGCACTTGTGGACTTCTTATGGAGATCCGAAATTGCATGGCCTGTGCTACTGCGACCCCTTCTAAAGCATGTGGGCAATTTTGGCTTAAGGGTTCCCACCCCCAAGCCTGTATCGGGTTTAGGGTTTTCTGGGTTTAGGGTTAAGGGTTTAGGGTATCGTTTTGTTTGTAGGTGGCCTTTTTCGCAGTCCTGAAGGGGTTGAATTGCAATACCCCACGAAGAAAATGGACAGGTGGCTTTGGGTGCTCGGGGTGGAAGTCTTGGGGCTTTTGCAGGCTGACAGTTCACCTTCGCGGCGGCTTCAGACCATGAACAGCATGACAAGTCAGCCTGGCGACGCCCGCACTGCATTCGAGGCTTTGCAAGCGTTGCCGAGCTCTGTATATCGTGGTCCCTTTTTGGGGCTTCTGCCTTGAAATTAGGGAGTATATAGGGTGTGAACGAAACAAGAACAAGTAAGCGATTTAATGATAGAATTGTAAAAGGGTGAAACGACTGCACGAATTCTATTAATAAATGCGCGAACGCAGTGTTACCGTTAATATTAATACTACTTGCCAATAATAATAGTAATAAGGGCCCGTAATACTATAATAATATTCATAGCGGCCTTATTATATTCTTCTTGGGGCCGCACTAAGAATCATGCAACTACGAAGAGAATGAAGTGGGCGTATTTTGAAAGGAAGTTCATGGACGCACGAAAATCGCCCAGGAATGAACGAAGTGAGAACGAAACCCACAGTTGATGATTCATAGACTTGGAAAACAAGGTGAAAGGAATGAACTAAAGAGGCCCTATCATTTTCCCTTTTGGCCTTTTTAAGTGAATGAGTGAGCCGAATGAACAAGCGAGGAAAGTAGTGTGATAAAGGGGCTCTTAATAAATTAGCCCCTTTACCACCTTTAATAATATTACAACTAGTGAATGAAGGTGGTAAGAAGTGAACTTGTGAACGACGCACGCACCGCAGTGAACGAAAGAAGAAAAAGACCAACAACTTAATATGGAAATCATGCGTCTTTCGTCCTTATATTTCCATTATGGAGTTTGTATGGTCTTTTCGAATATTATTTCAGAAACTGTACACAGGAGTCCTTGTCGCCTATTGTTGGGTATGTTTTTCCCACCCTCGGTGTGGGGTTGTTAGATTTTAAAACTCAACTCTTCTCCTCGGGGCTACTGGCAATCGTGTTCTCTGGTCCTCTTGGCGGATGGCAAACACGCCCCCTTAACCCAAATCTCCTCAAACCCAAGGACATTTAAAACTCAACTCTTCTCCTCGGGGCTACTGGCAATCGTGCTCTCTGGTCCTCTTGGCGGATGGCAAACACGCCCCCTGAACCCGAATCTCCTCAAACCCAAGGACATGCTCTCGTCGCTGCCACTGGATGCAACTTGGGTTGCAGATTCTCTCACTTCTTTTGCGAGCTGAATTAGGGATGGTCATATGCGCACACATAGACACATATTACACATATTTTCTATTTATATTTAAACACAGCGTGAATCAGCAGACATGCGTACATGCGCACTTGTGTATTTACATCTAGTTCAGATCTCCATAAATTCCCCGGCTTATGACATCTGGATCAGGGCACGGCCAGTGTGGTTCGCCCTGCGTCCGCAGTTCAACTTGCACTCAGCGTGCCTAAGCCAGAAGCCCTACAATACAGCTTCTTGGGGCTCCAGAATGAGTCACGTAGGGCGTAGCTGAACCTGCATTGAGGCTTGCGCGGCATGCATACGAGTATAAAAACTACCAGGATTTCCGATGGCTCGGCACAGATAAGCGCAAACGGGCGCAGCTGTGAGAAGGTCGGTTCTGCTGTGAGGGCAGGCGAACCTGTGAAAAAGGTCAATCTCGGATATCCTGCACAGCAACGATGGCTTGATCTGGATAGTTTTTTTCAGGTCTGCAGCATGCTTGCAGCTATGTTAGCCTAATTCGGTTCTGCTGATAAGTCTGTGAAACGATGACGAGTTCCGAGGTCGAGTCGCCACGCAGGCAGTCCATGGGCAGCACGACAAGCCAGAATGCTCCCTGCCTTCAAGGCTATTTCAGGAATCTGGTTTGTACACACTACCATATCAATTTCCCGGTTTTCTTGTGCAAGGGCTCTCAGCCTTACGCCCAAAGCCATATGCCATAAACCCTCAGCCGAGTTCAGTTCTGAGGGTGGCAAGGCAGACCCTCGTCCCTTGCCCTTTGCTCAAGAAATAGCAGTAAGTAGCAATGGGATGTGAAGGATGGGAATTCGCTACTGATATTATAGCACATATCGAGCGAGGCAAAACGAGGACCCTAATTGTCATCAGCTCCCTTGCCACGTTTCGGTTTGCCTCTAGCTCGTGCGCAAGTCTTCGCCTCAGCTCTTCGAAGCCTGCTTCATGCATCGCCTGTACCCTGTGCGACTCCAATGCGTTTAGGCTTTGGGGTTTAGGGTTTAGGGTTGGGTTATGTTGAATTGAGGCTTGCAACCATTTGTAGCCCGCATACAGGCACACATGAACGCAAACGACACGCTGCGGGAAGGTCGGTTCTCCTGAGGGCAGGTGAAACTGTGAAACAGGCCAATTCCAGATGCACAGCAACAGTGCAGTGGATTGATCTGGTCAGTTTTTTGCTTTCATCAGCTTGGTTAGCTCTGTTTGGTTCTGTTGATAGGCTGCGAAACGGAGACAAAGGGCCTGGTGTGCGGTATCTCCCGAGCACGAGCGTTCCTAGGTCGAGTCGCCACGGAGGCAGTCCATGGGCAGCACGACAAGCCAGAACGCTCCCTGCCTTCGAGGCTTATTTCAGGAATCCGGTCTGTAGATGAAATAAGCACTTTCTGGGTTTTCTTGTCCAAGGGCCCTGAAACCTTAAGCCCTCAGCCATAAAACCCTCAACCGAGTTCAGCCAGTTTGCTGAAAAAGTAACATTGGGATGTTAAATATGGGATTCCAGGCACCTCGACTGACAGTAAGTGTCGGTAAAACCAGGGACCCTCATTGTTAGCAACTCCCTTGTCAGAGTCCATTTTCGGGTCGCCGCTAGCGCAGCTTTTGGATACATCGTTCTGCGGACAAGTCGAGCGGAAGTCTGTGTATCGCCTGCAGCCCCCCCCCTTTTCGACTGCACTGCAATGCCTCCAGGGAGATTGACTCTATATCCCCCTGGGGAATTCTTTTTTTATTTTTGTTTATATCAAACCCAGGAGGATATTACACACATCATTTTATTTTGAGGTTCTAGGGGGAGTAGAGGAATCATGTAGCTGATGTTGAGGTGAGCCTTGTGATAAGTGTAGTCTTAGCCCATATGCGGCTACAGCCTCGCCCAAGCCCTGATCTCAACATGCTGAGAGTAGCACACGAACAAAGCAGAGGCGAACAGCGTTGTGTAAAGAGCAGAAGCGAGAACGCACAATCGGGGTATTTTTCCAGATCATCTACCATAGGGGTCGGAATAATTGCTGATCGTATTCCTTATGGCCCCTGTATAGATATACTACATATACGATAGCAACCCCCAAAACCCTGTTCTAGCTATTCAGGCCCCTGAATGCAAGTGAGGCCCAGCAACCCCTGAACCCTCATGCAGTAATGAGTACCTAAAACTTTTCGCCCCAGAGATCAAGGTCGGCTTCATGAAGAAAACGACGCAGAGATTAGTTCCACAACACGGAATTCCCGGTACAGAACCCCTAGGCCCTAAATCCCTAAACCTACATGACCCCTAAGCCCTAAACCCCTAAGCCCCTAAACCCCCAAAACCCCTAAACCCCTAAACCGCCCCCATAACCCCTAAACCCCAAAACCCCTAAACCCGAAAACCTGAGGCGGAGTCGCCACGGCGGGCACAGCTCCAGTCGATGGCCAGCATGACGACCCAGAACGCGCCCGGCCTTCGAGGTTATGAGTCAGGAGAGACCTACTAAAGCATGAGGTTATGGTGAGGGTTCACGGGGTCTTCTGACAAAAGATGGGAGTTGCTCCTTGCTGATCGAGGCTTTTTTTCGGGCAGGGTGTCGATTCAGATCTAAAAGAGTGAAAGAACGCACAGAGTATGCTTGAGGGGTCTCGTTCATTTCAGGTCGAATCAGTCTCTAGTCATGCTTACAGGGCTGCGGGCTTGGTCTTGGGGGGGTCATGACTGTCGTCTTTGTGAACAAATTCGTACCGCCCCCCCACCCCCCCCATTCCCGAAGAGTCTCCGCAAAACTGTCCCAGCTAAGCACGCCCGCAAGCGTACAACCTCGCGGGATGAACAGCAGAGCCTATTCTTGGAGGTTCGCTCTTTGCATCTTGGGGCTCCGAAATTATGCGAAGCCGCGAGGGTCTCGCCAGGACAACCGATCCTCCAAATCGATGATTAGAACACTCCCCCTGAAGCGTCGCTACCCACAAACGCCACAGGCCTAAACCCTAAACCCTAAACCCTAAACCCTAAACCCTAAACCCACAAACCCCACAGGCTTTGTTCTGTCCTGGAAGTCCTTTTGTTGGGCTCACGGCCTGGAGGAACAAAGCAGAAGTTCATCTGTCCTGCCCGGCGTATCAGGTGGTCCTGAAGTCTACGAGAGCCCTAAACCCTAAGCCCAAAAACCTTAAGCCCCAAGCCTAAGCCCTAAGCCCTAAGCCCTAAGCCCTAAGCCCTAAGCCCTAAGCCCTAAGCCCTAAGCCCTAAGCCCTAAGCCCTAAGCCCTAAACCCTAAACCCTAATCAATCCCCAAGCCCTAAACCTTGAAACCATAAAGCCCCGAAACCCCTCGAAATAGCCACATGAAGCAGGGTTTATATTACTGTTTTTGGTGAGTGTATATAAGGTTCCTTTTTAATATTGGTGAGTGCATGTACCTGGTGTCCTTTTGGGGGTACAAGAAATATATACCCTACTTCACATGCCTCAGCCAAGAAGGCCTGTAACTTCCCGCGTTTCAAGCGGGGGGGGGCTTTCCTTTGGGTTTAGGGTTTAGGGTTTTAGGGTTTAGGGTTTAGGGTTTAGGGTTTAGGGCGAGTCAAAAATGGGATCTATCACTTACTGTTAGTTAGTAGGGAATGAAGGAATGAGGTACCCATCCCCCTATAAATACCCTTATAAGGGATTATATAGGGTACCGCATTCCCTCATTCCCTACTAACCAACAGTAAGTTCAGTTTTGGGGGGATTTGAGAGTTTGGGTGTCTCTGACTGAGGGGTGGGGTTTGAGGCTCTGCGCAGTGCAGGTCCGATGGAATCCAGAAAATAAGCAGGCTGGCCTGCTTGGCGGGGGTCAAAAACCCTATGATTACAATAACAACCGCCCAAAACCCTATTTAAATTATTAAGGCCCCTATTTTTGATTCCTAAGCCCTCTCTCAAGGTGGATTCCCCACGCCGTCAGCTGCAGAGCATGGGCAGCATGACGAGTCAGGGCGCTTCTTGGCGGTTGAGTGGGGGAGGAGACATGGGGGTTTACAATGCAGTACGGCTTCATGGGGTCTGCCAGGACCCCCAAAGTATGTAAAAAGGTGGCCTCAAACCCATGAAAAGGGACCCCTTATACTAGGAGTCCTTAATAGGGATTGTTGTGCCCCCTGTTCTAATCCTATTAAGGGCTGTTAGAAAAAGGGGTAACTAACATCCCAAGGTATCTCCGGAACCCAAAGGGTAACGAGTTTAGGGTTTATTTAGGGTTTAGGGTTTAGGATTTAGGGTTCAGGGGGCATCCCATGGACCCAAATTCACAAACGGAAATGAGTTCCAGGTTTGGGGTCGAAGCCAGTGTGAAGCTCAGCACCCAGGCTGACTCGCCACGAAGACAGGCGCAGTCAATGGCCAGCATGAGTACCCAATGCCAAGCGGACGCGCGGACGGCGGTTCAGCCTTTTTGGGACTCTACTGGCCTTAGCTGAGAGAGAGACTGGGGTTGTCGTCAGAGAAGCAGATTGCCCAAAAAATGCCCCAGTAAAAATGCCCCAGTAGTACCCTGTGCCACACAGCGCCTCCTGGCCCTTGCGTAGCAAGACCCTCGGGGATGGCGCGGCAGAGAGAGAGAGAGAGAGAGAGCGAGAGACAAAAAAGAGAGTGCCCCTATCCCCTTTTTTGTTTAGGATCCCTTAAGAAACCTAACTTAAACCAAACGGGTGCCCGTTTCAAGACCAGTCCCTGGGATCGCGCCCACGCCTCTCCGCTCTGATCTTTTCAAAAACCCAGAGAAGGGTCTTACCTTTTTTTGTGGTTCAGGCTCCCTGATAAGCCCCTTTAAACCAACAGGGTACCCTTTCAACATCCTCGACTACTCTTGAGTCAAGATGAACCCCCGTTCCCCCCTAAAAGCAATTGCAGACAGTTTGGTGGCTTAAAGGGCTGCAGTCTTGTTTGGGGGAGCCTGTCTTTCAAAAGGGCCGGCCTCTTCTAGAGAAAGGGAACCCTGAAACCAAATCCCCTTGAATGCCAAGCGCACCTTCAAAGGGCTTTGAGTCTGCGATATCTGTGCTATGACCCGACATACCAGACAAGAGTTTGGCAAAGTGCAAGATGATAAAGTACATGTATCTATGCATAGCATATAAATATACATATACATACATATCTACATACATACACGGCGATTTATGGGGGTTTCCGATATTCGGGGCACCTTACTGGGGGTCCTCACTGCAACGGACCCTGCCATTTGGGGATCTAGATTTTGGGTCCCTTATGTTCCTAAACCCAAAACCCTAAACCCTAAACCCTAAAGAGTGCGAGAGCAACCCTAAACCCTAAACCCTAAACCCTAAACCCCCTTGTAGACATCCTCACTGACCTCGGCCGCCCGAGCCGCGCTCCAGGAAGTCCCGCGCGATGACGTCCAGCAGACCGTCAGCATACAAACAGCGGCCCGCGGCACTGGAGACTGTCTGGGGTTTAGGGTTTAGGGTTTAGGGTTTAGGGTTTAGGGTTTGGGGTCTAGGGTCTAGGGTCTAGGGTCTAGGGTCTAGGGTCTAGGGTCTATAGGATCTAGGGTCTAGGGTTTAGGGTTTAGGCTTTCGGGCCCAGAGTTCGCATAGGGGCATGTGGGGGGCTCCACAGGAAGGGCCGTTGTAATCAGGGCTGTAGAGGCTTATGGAGGGGCCATTTTGGGGTTGTTTTAGTATACAAGGAACATGTAAGGGCCATCTAGCTAAGGCTTGTATAAGAAGGGTTAGATATAAGCTGGTAGGATGAAGGGTACTCTGTGATACGGAGCATAGTGGTTTTCAGAACTGCCCATCCGTTTCGGTGGGGCAGCTTGGGTTCCCAGCCACTTTTTTCTTAAAGTTGAGACCGATGGCGACCGTCGTGGCCGTTCCAGCGACCCTAGTCCTAGCTGTTCGGCCCAGCACTGCGCGAGCACGAAGATACAAGTCCTCCCCCCCAATCCCTGCACAGTCACCGATGTTTTTGATCGGATCGTATTGATAAACGGTCTTTCTTGGGCCTTGCTTTTGCTTTGTATATAGCTCCCTAGATCTCTTCTTGGTCATAGGGCTATGAGCAAGGTGACGATAGTAAGATGTATGTCTATTATGTCTAGCTGTTTCCGGTATCTGCCCTGGAAAGATGACGGCCACTAAGGCTGCGAGCGCGGAGGTCACGCCTCAGCCGTCCGACCGAACAGCCGAATCTGAGGCGCAGGGACGACGGGCCGAAAATGGGGTTAGGAGGCTTTAGGGGGGGTAGAGCCCGAAACCCTAAGCTATGCGAGCGCGCGTGTACACTGATACACACCCTAAGCCCTAAGCCCTAAACCCTAAACCCTAAACCCTAAACCCTAAGCCAAAAGGTTTTGGAGGGCCCCTAAAAGGTGCCACTGTCGCTCACGGAGCGCCTTCAGAGCTTGAAGGAGAAGTCCAAGGCTGGGCTTTCTTTGGGGTTTATGGTCTAGGGGCTTAGGCTTTAGGGTTTAGGGTTTAGGGGTCTAGGGTTTAGGGGTTTAGGGTTTAGGGTTTAGGGGTTTCGCGAGGCCTGGACGTAAAAGAAGGGTTTAGGTCAGGTTCTCTTAAGGGTGGTTAAGGGTTTTCTTGAGTTTGCGTTGGTTTTTGTTGAAGGTTGTTCTTTGCAGTGTTTTGTAGGGTTTGACGGATTTGGGGTCTAGGATATAGTCTCAACCGCGTAAGCCTTAAGCTCTAGAAGCCCCAGACCCTCAGGCCACCCCCAAAAAACCCCTAAATCCTGGAACCCGAAGCCCCCCCTCAAATCCCAAAATATGACCCTGCATGAACCCTAAACCCTGAACCCTAAACCCTAAACCCTATAAACCCTAACCCAGGCCGATGCGGAGGCTGCAAAGAGTTCAACAGAGGCCTGTGCGTTTCGGGTTCACCTGAAGGTTCATAGGTAGCTTATAAGTGCGGTGAGAAGTAGGGTCACTATTAACTATAACTGTAACCTTATTTCGGGTGCTTATATCTCCACATATAACTACCCATGAACCTCGAAGTAGGGTTTTGGGTTTACGGTGCATTCTCACGGTTCGGGTGTTCAAAAGGGTTTGGGACTTAGGTTTCAGAAGTCTGTTGGAAGTCCACGAACGCAGTATGGGGTCCCACTAGAATCACTACAGATGCCTACAACACGAAACCCGGCTTTCCGGTTGCCAAGCAAACCCCACATCGAGGTCTCCACTCCCTGAGTGGCAACCCTAAACCCCAAACCCCAAACCCCAAACCCCAAACCCTAAACCCCAAACCCCAAACCCTAAACCCTAAACCCCAAACCCCAAACCCTACACCCTTTACTTTAAAAGAGGCTCTGAGACCTCAGCCCTAAACCCTAAGCACTCGCAGCCAGCCTCGACGTTGGCCTTTAACTCTCCTTTGGGCCTTAGTAGCTGACCCTAAGGATCCATGTGCCTAAATAGGGAATACCTGGGCCTTAAAGTACTTCCCATTTAGGGACTTCGGGGCCCGAGTATACAAGAATCAGGTACACGGACCCTTAGGGTGAGTGAGTACACTTGACACTTTTGGGATACCATAACCCCCTCGAAAACTGAAAGTGTACACTTTTTTTTTTTTTGGGGGGGGGGGGGGGGCTTATTAACTCAGCAACCAAGTGGCGTTCCGGGCACCCTCCGGTGAAGCCCTTGAAAATGCGTTCTGGCGGTTCACGGTTTCGGATAGACCCCGAAGAGCCCAAGAGCCCTAAACCCTACACCCTCCGAGACCATGACGGCTCTATTTGCCCTCTGGCGGTGGTGTTGTGACAACTTTTTCACTTTAGCAGAGGTTCTAGAACCGATGTCCAGCAACGAATCACAAACTTCCAAACATGTAAGCTCTGGACCCTAAGACCTCGAGAGCTTCCTCAGGAGAAGCCAACGCTGGCACGCGACGCGGCGAGGCTGTCTCCTCCGAACTGCGTTAAGGAAGGGCTACTTGGAGGTTCATGGGTTCGTTATAAGTACCATAAATATGGTTATAACCAGTTACAATTACAGCTGCCCTACTGATAACCCCACTTAGAACTACAAATGCACCTTCAAGTAGGACCCAGAGTCGGCCCGTTGTTAGCTTTTAGAGGGTTTCGGTTTCCTTATCAGCCCACTCAAACCAAAAAGGGCACCCTTGTCCTAGGTTACTCTTGGGGCCCAAGATGCACAGCCGTTATCTTGGGTAGAGTTTCTGTTTTGTAGGGGCGTTCTTATTAGGGTACCTGGGGGCCATATTAAGGTATAAGGGTAACAGATAAAGAGGCCACCTGAGTTTATAGCACAAGCGGGTTTGAGTCAACAGCCTCCGCAGCCTCACGCGGAAGAAAAAGCCTGCGTTGTGTTGAGGGTGATGCATTCCACCCAGTGAGAGCCACCTGCAAAACCCTTCTGTGCTTTCTTCCAAACAGTCCTGCCGAGCCACTTAGGGTTTCAGGGTGTAGGCTTTTCTTGCAGTAAAAGGGTTCCATTTCCCTTTATACTTGCGTTTGGAGGGTTAGGACACGCCTGCATTTCTTTTGCCTTATGCGTGCTGAGCCTTACCAGCACACCAGGTAAGTACAACCACCACAGTCACCAAGGCATGTGAATTTCTGGTCCTTGTGCTATGGATTTTCGGGCCATTTTTTAAAACATACTTTGGGCGGGGGGTTTGAGTAGGGTTTCAAGGGCCTTAAACTCCAAGAAGCCCTAGCCCTAAACCCTAAACCTCTGTAAAGTGCTCAAAGCCCGAAACCCGAATTCGTTTCGCCACTCTCTCCGCGAGCCGGAAGACCCTTAAGGCATGCAGAAAGCCTTGACCCCCGAGCCGAACTTGGGGTTTAGGGTTTAGGGTTTAGGGTTTGGGGTTTGGGGCGGTTCGCCACCTCGTGCTGCCCCCCAAAAAGGGACGAGAATTGAGGCAGGCCCTTGAACATCTTTTATGTCTTCCCTGATTGGGTTTAAGAGGATCATCTTCAGGAAACTGATTTCAGAGGGTTCTAAGGGCCATCCTAGGAATTGAGAGAACTGCCCGAATCAAACGCAACCTGCAAAGCTTATAAACCCTCAACCCCTCTGACGCCTAAACCCTAAACCCCAAACCCTAAACCCCAAACCCTAAACCCTAAACCCGTCTGAAGGCACCTGGTGCAAAGCCAGCCGGTCCTCATGACGACACCCTCCACAACATCGATCCGCAGCGCACGGGAGCCCGCGAAGTTCTGCGTTTTGGGGTTCGAGACGGTAATCTTGGGGCCTGAATAGCTAGAATAGGGTTTAGGGGGTTATTATAGTATACTTTCAAGGGACCATAGGGGAATACTAGTAGTAATTGTTCCGACCCCTATATTCGGGCTTAGGGTTTAGGGAGTTTTGTAGTAGGTAGGGCTCGGGGTTGTTAGGTTGAGGGCTTGGATTTGGGTGTTTTCGCTGAATCCAAAAATCCAAAATCCATGCCGCTTCCAGAGCAGACCCATAAGATCCCGGAAGCCCAAGCCCAGAACCAGCACCACCGCACACCCGGACCGCAAAACCTCCAACCCTAAGCCCTGAACCCTGAACCCTTAAACCCTGAACCCTAAACCCTAAACCCTAAACCCTAAACCCTGCACCACAACAGGCCATCGCTCGAAGCCTTTTGATCTTAAACCCTAGACCCTATAGACCCTCGAGGAGACCCCGTGAAGTAGCCCCCCCGGGAGTATGAGTGAGTCCCCCGGAGTACGCAAGTGCAGGGCGGGTGGCAAAATGACCCTAACCCCTAAACCCCAAACCCGAAACCCTATCCCCCAAACCCTAAACCCTAAACCCTAAACTCTGCCGTATCACTCACAGGTCGGACCTGTAACCACACCCGGAATGCCTCGGCCAGTCGTGGCCTGCGGCCTCGGGCATTCTTCTGGGGTTTAGGGTTTAGGGTTGAGGGTCTATTTTTTGGGACTTGGGTTTATGGGGTTGAAACCCAAAACGCCCTACAACCGTAAGCCCAGATCCAGGGTTTAGGGTTCGGGCTTTGTTGTTTGCGATCCTAGATAACATGCGGGTTCAGGTGAATCTTGCAGGGCTCAAATGTGGCGCACAAGAGAGGGAGCAGTCCCTCATTGGGGAATGTACTGTACCTTCCTTACCTCATCACTCAAACGTGCCCAACTCAAGCGGCTACGGCTTGACCTTGGACCCCGATGGGTTGTAGGCCTAGGGTCTGGAGCCTTTCACAAGGCCCTAAACCCTAAACCCTAAACCCTAAACCCTAAACCCTAAACCCTAAACCCTAAACCCTAAACCCTAAACCCAAACCCTAAACCCTATAACTCCCTGGGGTGCAGGGTTTCGAGGGTTTAGGGCCTTGATCGAGGCCCAGATGGGTTCCATGACGCTGCCGGCCACGGTTCCCATGCCACTTGGGCCAGGTGATGCGTTGTTTTGGGCGCCTTCGGGTCTATATTTGACCTCAGAGTAGAGCTCTTTAGCTTCAGGGGGTTTCTTAAGCAACGTTTCACTAGGGTTCAGGGCTTCGTGGGTCTTCGAGCATCAGGGAGTTTAGGGTTGTGCGTCAGGCCCGTGTCTGGGGTGCGGTGTTGCCTTGAGCGTGAGGACCCCCGTTCAGGCAATTTCACTGAGCTTCTTGTCTCTGAACTTTTTGGGAACATCACGGCCTTATTCTAATCCCTATGAAGTAAGGAGCTGTACATCCCAATCGTCAGCCCTTTTTGGGGGTCTAAGACGGATCCGGGTTCCCGGGTTTTGGATGGAGAGCTCAGCGGTCCCTCACATCCTTAGCCAACCTTTGCATCAGAGCCCAAAACCCTAAGCCCTAAACCTTAAACAGAAAACCCTACTTGTTTAGGGGTTTGGGGGCTAAGTCAGCAAAGAGGCCTAATTGCAAAAAGAGATGGTTCAAGATGCTAGGACATATCAGGACCCCCCCCCCCCCCAGACGTGACCCTGTTTCTCCGACAGCACTTTGTATAATCCCGTATATTTAGGCCCCCTAAACCCGCTACCCTTTTGAACCCACAACCGTCAGCTTTGATCCCGGAGGTCAGGCATGCCAGTGGCCGCGATGCCCATGCAGAGGCTACTAAAATTCCGAATCTAGGGCCAGCTCTCAGATTGTTAGTTTTTGTTGTTCCTAATTGTTGTTTGTTTTTTTGGCTTTGGAAAGTCTTCGGGGGCAGGCTGAACGGTTTCTGTGGAGGTTTCTGGAAGCCCGAAGTCTGGAGCCACCGAATTGAGCTGGCGAGTAGCCCGCGCACCGGGTGCTGTCTCAAGCAAAGTTACAGCAAAGACGCCCGAAATCTTAGGGTGGGACGTTTTGGTATCCAGCTGCGATATCTGCGCGCCAACTGCATTTAGTCCCCCCCCCTCTCCCTCCGCACCTGCACACCCCTCGACCCGAGGCACTAAAGCCCTAGCCTAGCCCCCGATCCGTTCTACAAAGTCTGCATCTCCCCACGCGAACGGTTGCGAGGCCGATGGCCCCTATCCAGGCCGCCCGCCCATTCGTCCCACAGATGCAGGCCGATGTGCGAGTCCGAATCGATTACAAGCAGAAGAACCCCCGAATATCGTGAGGAGCACAGAAGTCCTGAACCCTAAACCCTAAACCCTAAACCCTAATGAAGGAAGCCATCCGGGAACCACAGGAACCTGAACTGAACATTCGAGCTCAAGGTTCTCCCATCCAGACTGCCGAAAATGGTGCCGACCCCAACTATACCAGCCCTTAACCCTCAACCCCAAACCCCAAACCCTAGCCCCACCCCAAAATAAAACCCTAAACCCCTAAACCCTAAACCCTAAACCCTCTAAGCAACGAGGCCCGTGAGATTAGGCGGCCTCGGGAAACCGAGGGGTTGGCTTCCAAGCGCCTCCCTCCCAAAGGGTTTGAGGGGTTGAAGCTTTGAGAGTTCCCTAAACCCTAAACCCTAAACCCTAAACCCTAAACCCTAAACCCTAAACTGCCGGATTTAGAGGGTGTAGAGGGTTGTGACATTTAAGGTAAGAGTTTGATAGGATTCATAGGACTAGGGTTGAAGCTTTGAGAGTCTACCGGACTTAGAGGGTTTATAGGTTTGACATTTAAGGTTTGTAGGATTCACAACGCTTTTAGGGGTTGAGGCTTGCTTGGGTGCAGGCGCCCGGCGTGGTGTACCCGATGTCCCCACGGCTCCAAGGGCCGGGTCCAGTGGTGATGCGGCCGTGCCTCGGGTCGAGAAGTTGAATCTGGAATCTATAGGGTTTAGGGTTTAGGGTTTAGGGTTTAGGGGAATGCCAGCGTTTAGGCCCTGATGGCTTTGGGGTTCAGGGGTGTCGGTGTCGGCCTTTGTTACCTCTTACCTGTTTGAGCCGCTGCAGACCAGATGCAAAAAGGGTGCATGGTTGAAGGATCCTACTGCAATCCTAAACCCTAAACCCTAAACCCTAAATCCTAAACCCTAAACCCTAAAAAAAGGTTGAACAAAGCCAGCTGCTGCTGAATTATCAACCCATGGCTTGGTTGCTCGCGGTGTGGGTGTTTATTCTGGTGTTGGTTGTGGTTTTGGTTTGTGTAGCCCTAAACCCTAAACCCTAAAACCCTAAACCCTTTTGATTCTGTAGTTCGTGTATCTGTGGAATGTCCTCTTGGGGATGCTGGCAATGAAGGTCCCCACCTTCGGACAGGGGAAGTTTAGATTCTTTAGTTGTTGGTTCGAAAGGGCTGTGCAGTGTACAGGGCTTTAAGTCTCTGAAGTCCGCAACCTGATATCTGTTCAAGTGTCGCTTGATGCCGGGGCAAGGATGATGCCGCAGCCGACGATGCCAATGCCCTTGCGCCCGATGTGTAGCTGGGACTCTGTGAGAGCCGGACCTCTCCAAACCCTTCAGCAACCGCAGCCGACACCCTACGTTTGAAGCCCTAACTCGTGCAAGATCTACTCCCTCCCAAACCGATCCCCTGCCCCGAAATCCATAGCCAGCAAGAGTCCCAGCAATCAGTTCAGTATGAGGTAGTTCATCAGGGCCCTTCTTGCGGGGCCAAGGTAGGTAGTTCACAAGCCCAGGGTCCTATCAGGGGGGAGGCCATGCCCAGACCTCCCATACGAAACCGTAGAAACCCCAACTAAACTCTCCTGCTAGGTCTATTTATGTTCTTCCTCACAATCCCACTGGGCAAAGCTGTCAGGAGCCAGGCATATGGGTGAAGATTCTTTCTGAGCCTTCCTATCAACAGCCCAGGAGGCTTCTTTCTGTAAAACCTCCTAAACCCTAAACCCTAAACCCTAAGCTCCAAGTATTCCGCTGTCAAGCCCTGATGAGATGCTTGAAGACATCTACCAAAACACAGCTCTTCGGGCCTCGGAAGGTCAAACCCTACTGGTAAAACTTGGGACGTTCCCCCTTATACTACCAGTCCCTAAGAAGGATCATAATTCGGGCACTATAATCCCTATTAAGGACTCTTAGTATAACGGGGAACATCCCAAGGCAAAGCCCTAGAACCCAAACCACAAGCCAGATAAACCGTCAACCCTCTTCCCTATTCCCTAAACCCTAAACCCTAAACCCTAAACCCTGAACCCTGAACCCTGAACCCTGAACCCTAAACCCTAAATCCTAAACCCTAAACCCTAAACCCTGAACCCAAGCCACAAGCCAGAGACAAGGATCCGGGAGCCGCAGTACATTGCGGAGACATCCTCGGGGCGCACTGAGCAGCGACGAATGGGGGTAGATTCCCTAAAGTAGGGTCCCTTTTATTGGTTTTCCATAAGGGCCATGACATATACACATGTAAAAACAAACACAAATAAATAAATATAGTATATATATATACATATACATACATATATAGATACATATGTATATATATATATATATATACATATGTATGCAACGAACTTGGCACTCGAATGGGACCAAAGTTTAGAAAGCCGGCCGCGTGGCAAGAGCCGAGCTTCCTTCTACTTGCACATCCGGAATGTCAGTCTGCGACACAATCCCAGCGGCAAGCTCAGTGAAGTGGTTTAGGGTTTAGGGTTTAGGGTTTAGGGTTTAGGGTTTAGGGAAAAAGCTCATTACATGCTACGCTTTCGCCAAAAGCCCCGCGCGACAAGACGTCCGGCTCGGGATGGTGCTTGAGGAAGCCGGCTCTCAAACCAGAAGGCTCCCATTGGGCTCCTGGAGATGTTGGCAGCGATAGTGAGAGAGCAGATGTGGTTAGGGTTCCCTGTGTTTGGCCCATAGTTGAACTGTAACCTTTTCGGGTTGAAGAATTATCCCTAAACCCTAAACCTTAAACCCTAATTATTCCTGAATGGCTTGGAAAACTAGGTAGCCCAATGTCAGACCTCTCCGCTCCAATGCACACACTCCGCTGGAGGCGCGCTCAGAAGACAGAGATCCAGCAAACGCTTTTGGGTTTGAAGCTTTGAGCGTTAGCTCAAAACCTTTCTTTCTAAGAATCCCATAGGGGGGTTCTTCCCAATCACCTACCAGGTTTAGGGTGTAAATATGGAAGAAGGTCATGGAGGTTTAGGTTTTGCGGTTTCGGGTTTGGCCTCTGCTTTGGTGAGATGCAGCTGAGCTCTGCGATCGGGTGTCGCCTCCGTGTTCCATCGCTAAATGCTGGCCACATGGCCCGATACTCTTCTCCCCAATCCCCATCGTCTCCAGCTTCCCGGACTCGTTAAAGACCCTAACATGCGCGTTAGGGAAACCCTGGGTTTGAAAAACATGTTGACAAGTGGTGTGGGGCTGGGGGGCGACGCCGAACTCAGCCCAACAAATCTCTTATAACCCCTCCTTATCCTCAAATCCGAACCAGCAAAATTCGGAGAAACCACAGGCATGGGAAGCCATTCATAGCTTGGCCCCCGACCATACCAGTCTGACCAGGTCACCGTACAGAGTGCATGGCTAAAGAAAGCATCAACAGCAACAAAGCGCTCATTCATCCGTTTCTAATGGATATCGGCTGCAGCCGCCTCTACCGTCCCCGCCCCTCCCCATGATGGCCACTCTGTGGATCAGTCAGTGTTGCTGATGGATGTCCACAGACGGTCACGAACCAACGATGACGCGGGTCTCGATTTCACAGCGCGTCGCTCTCCGAAAAAATGTGCCATTTGCCATGGGACCCGTGTCTGGGAAATGAGGCATTTGGGGGATCAGGGCTTAGGGGAGCGGACCTGCTTGGCAAGTTCTCTAGGCCTTTCTACTTGTATTGTAGGGTACACAGAAGGGGACCGAAAAAAAAGAAAAAACAACTTGGCTCGTACCCAAGGCCCCCCCCCCCCTCGTGATGATTAGGGTTTGGGCTTCAGGGTGAGGATGTTAGATGTTGAGGTTTTGAGCGGTTGAGGGCATAAGGGGGGCTCAGCGTGGCTTCGCAGGGGAAGGGGAAGGGGGGGAGGCTCGCGCACACGTGTATGAGTATAAGGGTTTTCGTATATGCACATATTTATTTAGTGTATATATATACATATAAATATGAATATGTACCTATACACACACATACATATATATATATATAGAGGTGTACGTACATATCTGTATATATACACATGTATTTCCATGTAGACCCTCAATCCGCACAAACCAAACCATGGGGAACTGAGAGGGCCCTCAGTCAAGCCCAGCTCCGTGGCAGGCCGCGACCCACGGCCAAGCGCTGAAATGGATCGTCGGCGGGCCCTATATTCCCTGCACGTATATGTGATGTGTCTGTGTACATACTAATGATGTTTACTGTACATAAATGTGTATATATATATATATGTGCATGTACATATTTATATATGTGTGTGTCTAATTCTATGTGTGTACATAGATAAGTGCATACATTTGAAGGTATATGCGTGCGCAGTAGTTTTTTTCGTACCTTTACCAACTCTTGTTTGAATGAGGATTCCCGAAGATTTTTGCCTTTAGAAGCTAGGGTCTGGGTGGTTTGGATGAGGGGTTTCCGGTTCTGTTAGGGTTTAGGGTTTCGTTCAGGGTTTAGGGGTTAGGCAGACCCTTCGTGCCAGCTGACGTCAAGTGTTTGGGTTCCAAAAAAAGGTTCCCCCCATGTAGGTTGAAGCCCACCCCCATGTAGGCTTTAGAGCTAATTATGTGGGTTACAGATTCTTTGGGGCTGTGGGGTAGTGGAAATAACGAAGCCCCCTATGTAGGCTTTCGAGTTCTGGATCCGAGATTTTTTTGGGCTTGTGAGGAGATTGGGGGCTCCTGGGTTTTAGCTCTTGGGGCTGTTATAGGGTGCGCGCAAGAGGCGTGACCGTGTGAACGCCTGCCAGAGAGGGATAAAAAAAGGCGCTGCCTGCTATGCCGGCAAAGCATGGGCTCCTGATGGGCCCCCAGCACAGACCCAAAACCGACTAAATTGCCCCTCAAGAAAACTCACTGGTTCTTCATTGGGCAACTAGGGAATTAGGGACTGTGCATGTAAAGGAGCATCTTGGGACCAGAACGAAAAATGAAAATGGGACACTTTCATTCGGTCCCTGTAAAAATGGGGTCGCTTGCGAGTTGCGTTGATGAGATTTTCTCCTCCTTCCTCAAATTCGAACGACAGGGTCTTGGTGGCAACTTCGGGCATTGGGTTCCCCTTTTGATTCCCTCAAGGCGTTCCATAACTACGCTTAGCCAGCAGCCAGGGTCCTGAACCCCAAGAAAAAAACACCCCAAGTCCCTAACCCTGAACCCTTACCCCTAACCCCTAACCCCTAACCCTAAACCCTAAACCCCAAACCTTGCAACCCAAACCCTAAACTCTAAATGCGCATCTTGGGAGGACTCCCCCGTCGCCACGGAAGCCGACGTCAGGGAGCCAGGGTCTCTGCAATCTAGCTGGGACCCCCCCCCCCCCCTCCAACCCTGGTCTTTCTATATCCCCCTTGAGAACTATTTTTTATTTTTTTCTATAAGCCCAAGAGGGTATTGAACACATTAAGTTTATTAAGGTTCTGAGGGGAGAATAGCTTTAGGATTGAGGGTTGCAGCATTGGGCTTCGGGAGATGTTTTTCCCCACCCTCGGTGAGGGTTGCTTGAAAGTCAGCCATTTTCCTCGCCTTCCTCGCCCGGCTTCCCCTAAACGTTCATGGGCACTTCTCAGTGGAGTTATAAGTGCCCAAAGGAAGGTTATAGCCATAGTTATCCTACTTGTAACCCTATACTTCTAGGTACCCAAGAACCTCCGTAGTCACTCCTAAAAATGGCCCCCATTGACTATGGGCTCCAAAAAACAATTTTCTTCGAACATCCCCGCTGTGCAGTGCAGCCTACTATTTGCTTCAGAGCCCCCAAAAATAGAAGATAGTAATCTCTCTATTTTCCGTAGAGGAATATGTTTGGGGGTGGGTGATGTGCGGCGGGTCTCTCTGTGGGATGCTCCTGGCCAGTTTAGGGGTACAGACTTGAAGGTGCGAGTGTTTGGATTCCATTGCTTCTAGGCTGTGTACTGAAATTGCGCCTGGGTTTATGTAGGAGGTGCTTGGGTTGTAGGGCTAGCGCGTGGTGTGGCATGGCTTTGTCAGTTCGTTCCTTCCTCCCGGACCTGCCAGGAATGCTTACCACGCCTAGACAAAGTTTCCGTCGTTTAGAAAGTTGAATAACTTCAACCTGGAGTAAGGGCCGAGCATGCGTTGTGGTATACTTAGTACTAGAGTATGTAACCTTTGACCTTTCTGGGGTAATACTTAGCCTTTAGTTCCTCTAGGTACTGGACAACTAAGTATATGTTCCTTTGTCAAATAGTATTGGGCTCCCCAAGCATCACGAGAGGGAGAGCCTCAAACAACCCTAAGGCCTAATGCCTAAACCCCAAACCCTAAACAGCAAACCTGACCCAAACCCTAGACCCTAGACCCTAGACCCTAAACCCTAAACCCTAAACCCTGGGTGGCAAAAAAAAACCCTAAACCCGGAGGCATGCCAAGGCCATGCGGGAAAAGATTTGGGGCGCTGGGAGCTCAGCGGTGGGCTTTTTTGGGTTTGTGGGGGGGGCGACTTGTTTAAAGTGTCGCCAAATCCACGTTCATGTTTGGGTTTAGGGCATTTAGGGTTTGGGGTTTAGGGCCTTTAGGGCATTTAGGGCATTTAGGGTTTAGGGTTTTGGGGTTTAGGGCTTAGGGTTTAGGGCATTTAGGGATTAGGGTTTCGGGCCCTGAGGAGCCTACAGCAGGTCTTTCTGTTGGGATGGCTTGAAGCTTCGAGCGGAGCACGCGCGCAAGACCTGACGTGTTGACATGAGTTGTCCTTGCTTGGCATGGACTCCCGGCCTACGCGCAGCATCCGATCTTTGGGGTTTAGGGTTTAGGGTTTAGGGTTTAGGGTTTAGGGTTTAGGGTTTAGGGTTGGTGTTCTAAGCAGGCCCTTGAAGCTTCAGTCGCCATGCCATGTGCATCCAACATCAATCAAGCCACCCCTGTCCAACCAGAAAATGAGCGGTTCAGGTGGCTAGAGAGATCGGTGCAGAGGAGATCAAGTGCCTTTTGGAAACTCTGATACCTTTCAAGGGAGCTCGCCGCAGTTCGGCAGTACGTAACCTCGGGGAAGTGGAGCAGCTGGGTGTTGTGTCTCTCTGAGCCCCCGATCCCATGAGCTGGCAGCACGCGTTTGGCCATATGGGGATTTGCGATAATAAGGTGCCCCGAATCAAGGCCCCCAACTAGCAGGATCCCCTTTACAGTAAGGAACCCCTACTTCCGGAAA